TAGGCTGGCCACGGGGGGGGGGGCGCAGGTGGTCAGAAGCCAAGCTGTCCGGCTGGTGCGCCTTCATTCGCGATGGCGCCTGGTCGTCTGCGTCTGCTCCTCTGGTGCTTGTTCGGTGAAAGGTTGGAGAGTGCTCCTTTTGCTTGCCCGACGCCCATGGAACGTCGTGTTTGGTGACGAAGGTTTCTTGCTTGGTCGTCCAGAGGCCTCTGTCAGTTGCCACCTTCCACCACTCCGTTGTTCCTGCTGTGTTGCAGATGTGCCTCTCTGTGTCCATGCGCGGGTTGAACTGCCCTGCGTGTGAAGCGCCGGTGTTGGCAGGCATCTTCTTCTGTTGGGCCCACCAGTGCATGCCCCTCCACGTTAGGAGGTCTCTGGTGGTGGTGTCCTTTGCGCGGCCGATGTGCCCCCAGAGTCCCCATATTGCTTCAAGGGCTCTGGTGCTCCAACGGGGGCATTCCAGCTTGTGGAGTGCAAGTCTTGCTTGTCTCATAGACCTGGCGTTCCATGAGACCCAGTCCTCTCCTGGTTTTCTTGGGACTCTTAGCATGGTCCGCACTTGTTGTAGTTGGATGGTGTTCGCGCACTTCAGGAGAGAGTCATGTATGGGCCAAGTGGGTGCTCCCCAAACGGCCGCTTCTCTGACCACCATGTTGTGTACTTTCAAGCGGCTCGCCAGCGGCGTGTTCGCACAGAGGGTCTTCTTGTTGGCAAAGAACGCCTTGCGAGCGCGGGTCGAGAGCTCTGCTGACAGGATGGCTGGTCCTCCTGCGAAGGACACTGGTGAGCACAAAACCATGATGGCATGTTCAGGGCCATTCGTGGTGATGGGGTGCCCTCCTATCTGGAAGGTGTGTACCCCGTCGTTAGATATGGCGCTGGTCTTCTTGTGGTTGACATAGAGCCCGTGGGTAGCAAGGATACGTTCAAGGATATCCATCACTTGCTGGACGTGCTTCGGGTTCTCCCCCCAGGCGTAGACGTCATCCATGTACCCCGCAGTGTGGTGTGGCGGGGGAGGTTTTTTACTGTCAGGTCCCCATGCGCTGATAGTAACCTCGGATGCGGTTTGCAGCAGGGCGTCGCCAACCAAGGCCGAGAAAGCCACCGGCGAATCGGGTCCGCCTTGGCGTACGCCGTTGCTTTGGCGTATGCGAATGGAGGTGTTTCCGAACTGGATGTCCATCTGAGAGGCGTGGAGTAGTGCCAACCAGATGCGAGCCTCCCACGGGTACCCCTGTTTGCCAATGTGTGTGGTGACGAGTCTTCCCATACTCGTCTGGGTGGCGGAGTCAAACGCCTTCCTCACATCGACCTTGATGATGAAGAATGGTCCCCCCCCAATCTCGTCCCATCCTCGCGATCTTGCGTATCGCCAGCAACATTTCGATGGATTGGCGACCTTTTGCACACCATTGTAGCCTGCAGATCGGGCTGAAGAGGTGCTGGGTGCGCAAGAGAACGAGTTGTGCGATCCATTTCAAAATCGCTGACGAAATGGTAATGGGACGGGTGTCCGGCCATCCCTCTGGTGTCGCCGACTTGGGTAGCGGGACTGTTACCCCTTTCTCCAGCAGCTCAGCAGCTCTGGAAGGGTACCTCTGTAGAAAGTGTCGTTCAGCAGGTAAATGATCCTGCTCGACCAGGTTTCGTCTCTGAGTAGACGACTGAGTGCCTCGTGTATGATACCATCGGGTCCTGCTGCTTTTCGTCGCGGCCACCGCCCCTCTGTAACTTGGAGCTCTTCTTGTGCAAAGGGGCGCCACGGTGTCAACTTGCAAAGGCACGCAAGCTCATGCTTCATTTCCGCAATCTGTGCGGAGACTTGCGAGGGGTCCTCCTTGTAGAAGATGCCTTCGAAGTGGTGTTTGAGGGTGTTTTGCCAGTTCGCATCATCAAGGAGGTAGTGTTCCCATTCGCGGGTGCGCGAAAGGTGCTTTTGCGCTCGATAAGACCTCCAATCTTGTTTGCTGGCCGCCTCGTTGAGCTTGGTGTGCCACTGCTTCTTCTCCTGTCGGTGCATGGCCTGGACTTCCTTCCATATCTGCCTCCTGGGAAGCCCGGGCGGGGTGCGTTGTGCCTCTCTCCTTCGGCTTTTGAGTGCTTTGCTCTCATCAAACTTGTCCATAACCCTGCCTGGGTTGGTCATGGCTTTGCAGACTGCTGCGAGTTGATGGTGTGCATCTCCTTGCATGTAGCTCTGATGGTTCATAGCGTCCTCGAAGTCGTGTCTGAGGTGGCGGGGTCCCCACGCTTTATGAAACTGCTTCCGTTGGGCTTTGTCTGGGATCTCCCCCATGATGGGTTCATGGTCTGAGTGCGCTCGGTCTCGGTGGTCTCCGACGTGTCCTCGACTGATTCGGGTGCCCTTACAGGCCAGGTAGTCGAGGCGCCGCGGTCTTTGTCCCGAGTAGGGGAAGTGCGAGGGCAGGTGGAGTTGCTGCTCGGGGAACTTGAACCCTCCTGTTGCCAGCCAGTTCAGGATGGTCTCTCCTCGTCCTGTGTGCCCCTTTGGGAAAGCCGGCGCGTTCTCTGAGTGCGAGAAAACTTCGTTCGCGTCCATGCCGAGGATTGTTCGATGTTGTTTGGTTGCGGGGCATTCTCTGAAGTCTGCAAGAATGGTCTCCGTCTCGTCGATGGTCGCATGATGCGGAATGTGTACGCAAACCACTCCTAGGGAGGTCCCCTCCTTGCTGAGGACGACGGAGCTACCCTTGGGGTGGATGGTTGCACTGTGGTGTGAGAAGGTGCTGCGGAAGGCGATTGCTGTGCCTCTCCATTCCCCAGCTTTTTTGCCGCAGCCAACAGCCATCATCTCAAAGAAGATGCCCACCTCCACGATTATTTCCTGGAGGAGGACCACAATCAGTCTCGACAGCGGCGGGTGGTGGGGCTCATCGGTTTTGTGCCCCTCAAAGGCTTTGAGGAATTCCATCACCTTAGGCGGCGTCATTCCTCCCAGGTTCCAAGTAGCGATCAGCTGGTGCCCCGATGTGTTTGGGCATGTGCTTTGGTGAAACGGGTCGGCCATCTCCTGGGCCTCTGCTTCATATCACTTCAGTACGCTGGCAAGCTGTTGCCAGTGCGTCTTCACTGTGTCCAGTTCGGCTCGGAGCTTGTTGGCGATCGTCGGGAGGTCGATCCAGCCTTGGGTGCCCGTCGCACTCGAGCCTGCGGGTGCTCCTGCATTGATGGCTGAAGCCACTCTGGTCGACTTGAACCACACTTGTCCTGTTGAGTACTCCGTGTCGACGTCTGGTAGTGCGGCGCCAAGCTCCATCAACAAGCGCTTGCATTTGGTCGCGACTTGCACTTTGCGGCGCTTCTCTGGGGGCTGAGAGATGTTCAGGAAGAGCTTCGCTGGTGCCCCGTCGGGTCGGGTGCCAATCGTCACGTTGGCGTTCCGAACTTGCCTTATGCATGCTTGTACCCTGACTCTCTGTTGGTCTTCGTTCTCTCCGTCCTTCTTGTGCAACGGGATGATGCAGTAGCCCCTACGGAGCCCCGGGACGAAAGCATCCTGTACCTCGAGGTCCAGGCGAAGGGTCTCGACCAGCTTGGTGACCTGCTCGATGACCTTGTCCGCCTCCGTGTCGGGGTGGAAGCCTCCCATTATCATCGCGGGTGCTCGGGCGCGAGGTTGGTCTTGACTCGATGGTTCGCCATTCTCCAGCTTGGCGATGCGGCTCTCCAGTGTCTCCATCTTGTCCTGTACTTGATCAAGCTTGGTTTTGTGCCCTTCAACGTCCGTGGCGATGGTGCACAGCTTCAGCGTGTGCTCTGCCATCTGGGTTTGAACCGTTTGCTCTAGTGCTCCAACTCGGCTGTTGACTTGGCCCACGGCAATGGTGAGCTCGCCTCGGAAGAGGTCACGCAGGGCATCCATGGTCACCCCTTGCTGGGGGGTCTCCAGTCGTCCCTTTCTGGCGGGAGACATGTCCAGGAGGTCTCTTCCATCTGCTCCCGTGGCGGCGGTGGATGCCCCCGGGGAAAGCGGTTCGAGGTCCATGTCCCCTCTTCCGGCTCCTGCTGCTGCTGCAGGTGTCTCCATAAACGCCGCGGATCCAAAGGGTGTGGATTGCATTCTTGGTGTCGTTGCCCAAGTCACGATTTTCAAGAGGATGCCCGCAATCTCCCAGTGTAGTGGGTGTCCCTGATCGGGAGGCCCTCGGGGAGGGTGAGTAGGTTCGCCGGTCTCGGTGATGTAGCAGGTGTCAATGTCCCCCGCTCGCCACCAGGCGCCTATCCCCTCGAGCTCTGTTCTCCACGAGGTCACCCTAGTCAACTCGGTTGGTGTACACGCGTAGTGCTGCGAACTGGTAGTTGGTGTGTATGGCAGCAAGGCAGAGGCAAGAGCGGCTTCAGTCCCTCCCTCTCTCTCCTTCGGCCGGGTTGAGAGACCTGGTCGCGGGGGGCGGTCTCTTGAACCGCTCACGGCTTGAGCCAGCTCTTTCTCTCTCTCTCTCTCTCTCTCTTCTTCCTTCCACACAGCCAAAAAGCAGTGCACGCGCACCACTCTCGCAGACGCATGCGAAGTGGTCTTCAGCTCTCGCTTTCTGAATCCCTCCAATACATGGAATACATACGAAGAAGCATGTTGGCGGAATAAGGGTTCGTCATGGTTCGTTCTCTCTGGATTTCACCAGTACTAAGGAGGCATAAGCATTCCA